ATTAAACACTATATTTATAAAACTAGATGTTTTGATACCACATTAAACATACATTCACTAATAAACTCTTTCAAGGACCACCATAATGTCCAAAAGTATATAGCAATAAAAAAGGGTGGTACTTTTCTTGATAATTTTAACAAAGGATGGAAATAAGATTCTGATTTTTTAATAAGAATAAAATATATTATCAACCTAACTCTGACAGTTGGGCTCACTTTTTTTTTGATTTTCTTATTAAGTAATGCTGTAGTCAATTTGATCTCAATTAGTTTCTACTTTTGTTTCTGGAAGGTCTGTCTACCTGTCTCTACCTTACCCTAACGGATGACTCTTACACATGTTTGATATTTCTCTTTATACTTCAGGGAGTTTATTTTGTCTTTGTATATGTCTTTGTTGTCTGCCTTGTGTTTTGTCAATATATCTCCCTCCCTCTGTCTCTCTGTCTGTGTGTCTGTCTTGTCTTGTCTGGTTTTGTCTTGTCTTGTCTGTCTGTCTGTCTATCTGTCTGTTTGTCTGTCTGCTACTTGTAACTGTCTGCGTATGTCTCTATTCTTTTTTTTCCTATAACATGAAACATGACATTATGGAATATTCAGTTTACTTTAATTTCATTAAAACATGTATGATCATCGGGGTGTGAACTTATGTAAGCAAGGAATATATACGCTAACTAGTATGAATGTGGCTGATTAATATAAAATGTCTATGCATGTTTAGAAAACTGGAATGAATTATCTTTTTTCTGTACATTGTGTATTACTGTCATGTGCGCATGTCCTTTAAAAAAAATGAATAAAACATATATATCAAAAAATATATAAAAATAAAAAAAAAATACACTTCACACAAATTAACATTAAACTTGCAATAGTAAATACACTTTAAACAATTTAAAACTATACTTGTAATAATTAATAAACTTCACATCAATTAACAACACACTTATAATAATAAATACACTTCACACAATTAACATAATACTTGTAATAATAAATACACTTCACACAATTAACATAATACTTATAATAATAAATACATCAATTAACAACACACAATAATATACACTTACTTGTAATAATAAATACACTTCACACAAATTAACATATATTTAATAATAAATACATTTCACACAACATAATACTTGTAATAATAAATACACTTCACACAATTAACATAATTTGTAATAATAAATACACTTCACACAATTAACATAATACTTGTAATAATAAATACACTTCACACAATTAACATAATACTTGTAATAATAAATACACTTCACACAATTAACATAATACTTGTAATAGTGCATACACTTCACACAATTAACATAATACTTGTAATAATAAATACACTTCACACAATTAACATAATACTTGTAATAATAAATACACTTCACACAATTAACATAATACTTGTAATAGTGCATACACTTCACACAATTAACATAATACTTGTAATAATAAATACACTTCACACAATTAACATAATACTTGTAATAATAAATACACTTCACACAATTAACATAATACTTGTAATAATAAATACACTTCACACAATTAACATAATACTTGTAATAATAAATACACTTCACACAATTAACATAATACTTGTAATAGTGCATACACTTCACACAATTAACATAATACTTGTAATAATAAATACACTTCACACAATTAACATAATACTTGTAATAATAAATACACTTCACACAATTAACATAATACTTGTAATAATAAATACACTTCACACAATTAACATAATACTTGTAATAATAAATACACTTCACACAATTAACATAATACTTGTAATAATAAATACACTTCACACAATTAACATAATACTTGTAATAATAAATACACTTCACACAATTAACATAATACTTGTAATAATAAATACACTTCACACAATTAACATCACACTTGTAATAATAAATACACTTCACACAATTAACATAATACTTGTAATAATAAATACACTTCACACAATTAACATAATACTTGTAATAATAAATACACTTCACACAATTAACATAATACTTGTAATAATAAATACACTTCACACAATTTAACATCACACTTGTAATAATAAATACACTTCACACAATTAACATAATACTTGTAATAATAAATACACTTCACACAATTTAACATCACACTTGTAATAATAAATACACTTCACACAATTAACATAATACTTGTAATAACAAATAATCACACAAATTCATCACACTTTTAATAATATACATCACACTTGTAATAATAAATACACTTCACACAATTAACACAATACTTGTAATAATAAATACACTTCACACAAATTAACATCACACTTGTAATAATAAATACACTTCACACAAATTAACATCACACTTGTAATAATAAATACACTTCACACAATTTAACATCACACTTGTAATAATAAATACACTTCACACAATTAACATAATACTTGTAATAATAAATACACTTCACACAATTAACATAATACTTGTAATAATAAATACACTTCACACAATTAACATAATACTTGTAATAATAAATACACTTCACACAATTTAACATAATACTTGTAATAATAAATACACTTCACACAATTTAACATCACACTTGTAATAATAAATACACTTCACACAATTAACATAATACTTGTAATAATAAATACACTTCACACAATTTAACATCACACTTGTAATAATAAATACACTTCACACAATTAACATAATACTTGTAATAATAAATACACTTCACACAATTAACATAATACTTGTAATAATAAATACACTTCACACAAATTAACATCACACTTGTAATAATAAATACACTTCACACAAATTAACATCACACTTGTAATAGTGAATACACTTCACACAATTAACATAATACTTGTAATAATAAATACACTTCACACAAATTAACATCACACTTGTAATAACAAATACACTTCACACAAATTAACATTATATTTCCAATAGCAAATACACTTTACACAACACCATACTTATAATAATAAATCAATTCACACAATTAACATTACATTTGCAATATTGAATACACTTCACAAAATTAACACCATATTTTTTATAGTAAATACACTTAACACAAATAACACCATACTTATTATAGCAAATACACTTCACACAATGAACACCATACTTATTATAGCAAATACACTTCACACAATGAACACCATACTTATTATAGCAAATACACTTCACACAATGAACACCATACTTATAATAATAAATACACTTCACACAAATAACACCATACTTATAATAATAAATACACTTCACACAATTAACATTATATTTGCAATATTGAATACACTTCACACAATTAACACCATACTTATAATAATATAACTTCACACAATAAACATTATATTTGCAATATTGAATACACTTCACACAATTAACATTATACTTGTAATAATAAATACACTTCACACAATTAACACCATACTTATAATGATAAATACACTTCACACAATTAACATTATTTTTGTAATAATAAATACATTTCACAAAATTAAATTCATACTTGTAATAATAAAAACACTTCACACAATTAACACCATACTTATAATAATAAATACACTTCACACAATGAACAATATACTTGTTATAGTAAAAACACTTCACACAATGAACACCATACTTGTTATAGTAAAAACACTTCACACAATGAACACCATACGTGTTATAGTAAAAACACTTCACACAATGAACACTATACTTGTAAATGTACATACATCTTGATGTAACTAATTAATATATTTTAGATATGAACCTACATAATAAACAAGGACTGAATCACAATAAAACAAAGCCGTGTACTAATCTGACGATGTCTGTAGGATAACACTTGCGATATTTAGATGAACTATTAGCGCATTCCTACAGATTTTCTCATTTTCCACGTTTCTTTCAAAATACTGTAGAAATGTATTAAATTAGTCCGTTATCCATCTAATTGTGTTGCAACTCATAGCTTAGTAGACTCTGGAACAACCAGTCTCATTTGATATATTGACAGGTCAGGAACTATTTCACAAATTAAAATCACAGCATCTGATGTATAAGTGGCAGAAAATTATACTTCACATTTCCCATGGTGCAAGCATTAAAAAATAACAGAGACCAAAAATCAATGTAGTCACGCATATAGCTTGTCATGTACTGATTAAAGGCCTGGACCAGGAGTGACAGAAGTCGGACGGATAGACTTATCGTTCCGTTCGTCCCGACTGTCACGAGCGGTAGAGGACAGTCATCAAATCCTGTCATCGCCCTATCTGGTCATCTCTATTGATAAACACAAATACACACTATACACCACAGTTCGACTTGACCACTCAGACACGCATTCTGGAACGACCGCCTGTTGTCAAGACAAGCCCCGTGCCTGATAATCGGAGTTTTGTTTTAATGAAACAATACTGTACCTCCTTCACGCTAGCGCCAGGCCCGCTCGTGCTTATCAGTGTGGGGCATTATAAACTGTCATATTCAGGTACTCGCAGAATTACGGCTCATGTCAAGATATGGCCATAATTTATAGTGATACTTCAAAATCTGGCCATTTAAGCTTTTAGAGATGATTGGTGATCTAGCGACTGTCGATTTAACTCATGGTTTTTAAAAGGGAAAGTGTCATTAATGGTCATATGCGTCACTTTTCTATAATCGCAAAAAAGATTAAAATCATTAACGAATATTAAGGTCTTGACAAAACGTAGAAGCAGAATGGGGGGGAGGGTGGGGGGTGAAATAATTCAAGTTTGACTGTCTTTATTCACATTACAGCAATGAAAAAGCCATGTGTCCAAAGTATTGTGAAGTCGATTATTATGACGTCATAAAACTGTGACGTCACAATGCAGAATCGTCACGAAGTAGCAACCAACAGTCAAACAAAAAAAAAGAAGTTGGCAGGATAGGATGAGGCTGTAGAAGGTGGTGTCGTTACGTCCGAAACCGAAATATAACCAGCGCCATGCAGCGCACAGTACAACGACAACATGCGGTAGAAGAATTTGGACTGTTTTATCCGTCATATATGTGTCCGGAACCAGTTCTCTGCATAAGGGCAACTGGAAAAATACCACGTATCCGGATTAAAGGGCCTCGGGAATGTGAATCTAAAGCGGCTAAAGATATAATAACACCACCTTCAGAACCTGTAAACTATCCCGCCAAGGAAAACTACATCCTCACAAAACAACCCAGAATTGATCTAAAGGACGACGAACTTGGTATAATATCTATCAATGATTTAGACACTTCTCTCTCCGGGTGGCATTTCCTGTCCAGTGCAGAATGGAAAGCAGAGCTCGACCGCACACCAATAGGTCCTTGTCAGCCGATACCGGACGACCCTACATCTTGGGTGCACATGTCCATGAGAAAAATAGAAGACGAGTTCTGGAAAGAAACGTTGGATTTTGATGATTACCAAGCCGTTATTGACGTTTTACAAGACACTCTGGAGGGACGGGCAGGCGTGATGGAACCACAGAGGGCAGTGTTCTTACTGGATACCAACCACGTGCCCTTGGTGACCAGCAAGGTCCTTCTAGAGAAGCTCCATCAGTTCTACTTGGATAACGAGGTAAGCCTACTAGTCGTGGTGTCGGAAAATCGGGTGAACATTTAACATGTAAACGAGCAGGAAATCGAGTCTACACAACAATAGAGGGGCTGTCCTTATCGGTATATTGTCATGCAAATAACTTCATCATGACGATAGAAATAAATCTTCCTACGACATGGTATACAGTGTGGTGCGTGTCCCACTTTAGTCTGATGTCCATCTCCAGTGTCTCACAGGAGTCTGATGTCTGTCTCCAGTGTCCCACAGGAGTCTGATGTCCGTCTCCAGTGTCCCACAGGAGTCTGATGTCCATCTCCAGTGTCCCACGTGAGTCTGATGTCCGTCTCCAGTGTCCCACGTGAGTCTGATGTCCGTCTCCAGTGTCCCACAGGAGTCTGATGTCCATCTCCAGTGTCCCACAGGAGTCTGATGTCCGTCGCCAGTGTCCCACAGGAGTCTGATGTCCGTCTCCAGTGTCCCACAGGAGTCTGATGTCCATCTCCAGTGTCCTACGTGAGTCTGATGTCCGTCTCCAGTGTCCCATGTGAGTCAGATGTCCATCTCCAGTGTCCCACAGGAGTCTGATGTCCGTCGCCAGTGTCCCACAGGAGTCTGATTTCAGTCTCCAGTGTCCAACGTGAGTCTGATGTCCGTCTCCAGTGTCTCACAGGAGACTGATGTCCGTCTCCAGTGTCCCCAGTGAGTCTGATGTCCGTCTCCAGTGTCTCACAGGAGACTGATGTCCGTCTCCAGTGTCCCACAGGAGTCTGGTGTCCGTCTCCGGTGTCCCACAGGAGTCTGATGTCCGTCTCAGGTGTCCCACAGGAGTTTAATGTCCGTCTCCAGTGTCCCACAGAAGTCTGATGTTCGTTTCCAGTGTCCCACAAGAGTCTGATGTCCGTTTCCAGTGTATAACACGTGAAGTCAATGTCCACTCTACATAGAAAATTTTCTTCAAAATGATTCATATTTATTCATTTCAGTAAATCCGTGGTAAAAATGCATTTGTTTTAAACATATTTCATTGCTCATAAACAAAAGGATTGGACACAAGTTAGTGTCTCTACTAAATATATCAAATACTCTGTGGATGTTTACATTGCTTATAACACGTGAAGCCGCCAGTGTACACTATTCAGTTTTCTCGGACCATATTCATTAAACAGAGTGTTGACAGGATTACTATTTTTTAGTGGAAATTCGTTTTTGATTTGCCTTGTTTGATACTAGACTTTGGACAACAGTTGTGGTACGACTGTAACATTGCGCCGTCATTAGTTGTGCGTTTAGATGACGATCAGTTGACATCTACATAAAACAAAATAAATAACACCACTGTAAAGATCAATATTAGATGATCGATTATGTTATATTGTTTACCAAATATTTTGTGATGTATCCGCGAGGTTTTCTTAGATTACAGATCCTTCTGGAATCGACGGATACAAGTTTTGGATAGTTCAACCTCAAAACTGGTCCAAACGGAAGCTATGTTTTGAAAAGTTGCTCGGTAGTTTCTGTTCTTTCAATCGATTCAATTGTTCTTTTGATTATCAACTACAAATTTTCAATAATGTTTAAGATGGGACTGTGCCGGCCAACTCATTGTATTTATTTGGTTTGTATCCATAAATCCCTTCGTGAAACCAGAGCAGTGAACAGGAGCATTATCGTCATGAAACAGATAATTATTATTCGAAAAATGTCTAGCGATCACTAGCCACAAGTTTTGGTCTATAATCTAAATATTTTCCCGAATGTTTGTTACCATCAACACGAGTGAGTGTTCCCATACCTTGATTAGTGACGCATCCCCAGACCATAAGGCTTAACTTTTTATATTTAACTCTTGGAGAAATACACTCAGGACGATATGCTTCGTCAGATATCCCCCAAATACACACTCTATTATTTTTTCCCAATCACAATCTAACTTTTAACATGTATTTTCCCCAGTTCTCCTCTGTGTAGAACTGTTTTTCATAGCACCAGGTTACCCGTTTCGCTCAAACACATCTGCTGTACCAATTTCATTTTTAAAATCTCCATACAAATTAACAAGAAATATTTCTGTTTTCAAAAGTGCTAAGATTATAAAAAAAATTGCTGCTCTTAGGCATCGGTCTGTCGACTTTCAGTTCTCTTAAACTTTTCCTTCGTCACTTGCGGTTAAACTTTTGGGTCGGTCCGGTGTTTTACAATTTTCCTTACTTCCGCTTTCATAGAAATTCTTGTAAATTCTACAAACAATGTACATTAATCTTAGACATAATCAGTAACTCGCCAACTTTTTAGAATGATAAGCCTCTCTGAACTATACATACTACATTTTGTTTCTGGCACTCACTTTCGCATCTTCTGTAAATAAACCCATGTGAGCAGACGACAAAAATAAAATGCCAAGCACGAGACTGTGACGTTTCCAATGATGTAAGCGGTGTCTGACTGATTTATGAATCATGTAAAAAGTTCCGACTTAAACAACGCAGAAACCAACATACCGTCCGGCATCACGGAATGGTTTATCGTTCTGCTGCTTTGGTCCAAAGACGGTATATCAGAAGTAATAATTTTATTGATCATTTCGAGACATTGCGATGTTGATAATCTAATGTTTGACTAATGTGAGTTATAAGTGTTAGCGCGGGAAAGGAACCAAACAGTGGTTGAATTTACTTCTGCCTGAAATATGATTCGATATAAAACATACTATAAGGTAGTAGGACTTTTCCAGATGGTATTTCTCAAGGATATAACTTTGGACGTCTTTAGAAGCATTCATTTTTTTCATATGAAATAAATAAGTTAGACACTTTTATCTGATAACTCAGAAACATTACATCTTGGCAGATTTTAAAGTCAGTGGATAGAAATATCAAACAATTACCATGGTTTTGTTATATTCAGTTAGCGATGTAACGTCATTGTTCATATTATGACGTTACAAATTATTTCTAACTGGCACAGCCAATGAAAAACGCCCCGTAGTACACAACACTAGTGGGAAAAATCGGCGAATTTACAGGATCATTACTTCAAACATAGAAAAAACAAAATGATATGTGGGTTAGAGTGGATATACAGGATGTGTTTTCTTCCTTTTTTTCAAAATTTACTTTTCTGGTTTCTATACGATTATCCCTGTATCATTCTATTCACTCTTATTATGGAAGGAGTTGGAAAAAAGATCGCCCCGGAAATCAGAACGTGTGTTAATCATGAAAAAAGTGAGCCTGTGGCGATAACATGAGTGCATGTTACTATGTTTATTCTTTCCTTAGATTCGTAACTTTTCCAAGAAAAAAAGTCAGTTTCATTTTGTCTATTTCAGTTTTATTTTGTCTATTTCAGTTTTATTTTGTCTATTTCAGTTTTATGAATTCGCAGAGGAACTCGAAACCATCGGAGCCAAATTTGTGACAAAGAAAACCATACAAGAGTGAGTAGACTTTCTAGTTCAGTATTTTACCCAGATACCTTATTTCATATATGTAATGGCTTTTTCCAACTAAGACCACGGACTCATATCTAGTTATAGATACGTCCGTGCTACGACAATTATCAAAATATCATGATAAGAAGAATATGGATATTTCATATGAAGATTATTGAAAACTTTTTCTGTTGTTTTCACTGAGGAAATCGGATGGATTTTCAAAATATTGTAAAAATAAGTATAAACATTATATTTTGTAGAACTGATTGACCTAGATAACAGATTCAATTGTTCTAATGTATTGTATTGTTTATTCAATTTAAGCCTTTCAGCTTATTAGTATAATATTTTCAAACATAAGAATACAATGCACATCTACAATTTTATGTTTTTATAACACATACTATTCAGATATTATATGAAAATTAAGTTACATTGTACAAGACGAGATGACAAAAAGACAGACTGGCACATTGTAACATTTCCCCTTCTTTGACAGATGTCTGTCCAGCTCGGACTCTGAGAGCGAGTTAGCCGCAGACATTCTGGAGGACGAACGACTACCCAGTTTTGTACGCCCCGTGGGGGACGAAGGGAGTTAGAGACACGGCACGTGCAAACAAATCTATAATATATGCATGTTCTTTGGTATATAAATCGCAAAAAAAAAAAAAAAAAAAAAATCATAAATCAAAATACCACAAATTACAAAATGGTTCGATAACGCTGGTTAACTTACTAAACTGACAAAAAAATGTAGCTGTTCAGGCAAATATGCCTTGGTGGGTCACATTCAAAAATAATGTTCTAAACATATGGACCAACAATGCACTTTACAGTGGAAGGAGATTATTTGTTTTTGGCTTGAAAATCGAAAATGTACCATATTTGGCATTTTTACTACTCAGCGAAACTTACTCTGATTTACACGTTTTATCTTCAAATTCAAAACGTTATTTGTCAACTATTGTTATCTGTAAAATGAAGCATCGACAAAAAAAGCCCCACTGTTTTCTGAATCGAATCTGGAGTAAAACTTGTTATAAAAATAAGAGGCCTGATTTTATAAGATTAGGAATCAGTATTACGTTGGAGTTTATTTCACTAGTTCTATACCGATCTTTGATTTGGGTACACCTGTGATATAACGCTGATTGATGTTTACTTCACTCTACATTGGTACATATATGTACACATGATTTACTGTATAACTTGAGTATTCTGTATTTTATTGTTTTTAAGATGATTTTGGAAAACAACATCAATCATGTATATCAATGTGATGCAACCTGTGATAGTATACACACTATTTACTGTTCATATTTGAAGTATACATACAAATTATACCTATTTGTAGAAAATAAATATTTATTGAAATAATGACAAATCTTCCGAACTTATTGTTGATAAAAATACTAAATAAGGATTCCGCGAAATTACACGCCTCTTGGCCCACGAAAGTAGAGTCAACGAGACAACTAGGCGGATAAGTGTCCCACCAAATGTGACATTATACGCAAAGAATGTATTATGAGTACATCCTTGTTTAAAGAAAGAAGTTCGAATGATTAGAAGTGTAAAAGAACCCGGACAAAACTCTTATGCAATCAAAGGTCAAAATGTAGGTCAGAGTGACTACTTTTGATACACTACAAAGTGCCTCACCAAGTGTTAAGTTTCAATGACTAGTAGTGTAGGAAACAGGGCTCGGGCAAACATTTACTTTGATGTAGGTCAAAGGTCAAAATGTAGGTCAGAGTGACTACTTTTGATACATGAAACACCGCCTCATCGTGAACATCTTGTAGTATGAGTGATAGAACCCAGATAATAGAGTGATAGGATGGACGGACGGACGGACGACTGGAGAGGAAGTTGTGCATATTTCGACATGTGAGCTGCAAAAGTACAAAGAAAACTTTTGTGGTGCACCTTCTAAAACCGTATGTATGAGGATAGTAATCCAAATAAACGAGGTGCACCCCGTATCACTTTTGTCAATACGAAAAAAAATGCACCACGTCAATATGTGGAACAAATATTAAAATATATTACATGCACGAGTAATGCTTCCAATAAATGATAATGATAATTAACATTTTTCCAACACAATATATTTGTCACAGTTTTCACGAGAGAATGAATTATAAATTGTGTCTTTGTTAAAAATATGGTGGATTATGGACAGGTCATTTTACACTTCACGGACAGTTTGCAACACCTGATACTCACAATTAGGTACAAGTCATCCCAAACGTTACGGATGAATCACCTCGGATATTGCCAACCGGACGACACACCTCAGGTATAACTGCCGACAACTTCCTGAATACAACTGTAGTTTAAGCCCAGAATTATGAACAAGTCATCCTATCCTAGACGTCATGGATGAAATACCTCAGATATTCCTGACCGTCAGCGTTCTGAATACAACAGTGGTTGAAGCCCACAATTATTGACAAGTCTTCCAAGAATTTACATATCAAACTCAGGTATTGCTGAATGGACAAAAACCTCAGATATTACTGTTATCATCATCATACAATATCACAGTCATCAAACATGTAAATGAAGAAGTAAACTGTTGTAAATTGTCCATTTTTTAATCATTGTACAAAGAAAAAAAACTTAGTTTGAAGTTTCAATAATACAAAACAGGTTCAGAGTGTGATTATAAAGGTCAAATTACCTCATGAACACAAACATGAACAAAGGTATTTTTACAAAATTGTAAATTCAAATTTTCAACATAATCAAACAAACAAGAGGCTCATGGGCCTTAACGGTCATCTGACTACAAAACCTTACCCACGGTCAGATGATCTAAAAATGATAAAAATTGAAAACTTACTTTTCCAGATCTGGACACCATAAAAAAATCTTTTAAAAAGTAGAGCTATTTGGTATCAACCTAACCCATATATCAAATCTTCCAATTCTTCAATCAAAATTTCAGCACTGCATGATAGTGTCTTGACAAAAGAAAAGGCCCAATGGTCTTAACACTCACCTGAATTCCATAAACATTGTTGGAGTTTTGTTACATATATCACATAAAACATCTTGTTAACACAGTTAACAGTCATCCTATATTATGGATTCTAATAGAGTTTGAATTAGAGAAAAAGAAATTCTATATAAGCTTCAAATTTGATACCCCTCGCCAGGGGAAAAGCAGAGATCATGAAATTCATAATTTGGGTTAAAGCATCTCAAAACCCCCTTCCATCTATGAAAAGTATTTGATTCTTCCATATCTGAGTTTTGAGGAGATATGCGACAATTTGATTCAATTCGACACCGCCCCAGTCCCCTAGATCGGAGACATTGTAATTCATTCATTTGGTTAATCATTGGCCATGAAAATATCTACCAAATTTCATTAAAATTGGCTCAGGGGCAAGGAATTCTTCACACCTTTTTACTATCTAGTATGAAATGCTGTTTAATTAAAGTAATAACAACCCTGCCAATGTTTTATAAACAGGAGGCCCACAGGACTTAACAGTCATCTGAATATATAGACCTATATATGTAAGAGGACAAATAAGCCTGAAATAAACTGCTCAACTACTCTACAGCTTATAAAGTAGATATTGTTTGGTCATAAAACATTTTCTGCAAACTTAAAATTATATTCTTTAAACATGCTACTACACAAATGCTATTATTCCGAATATATTGCTTATTGAAAAAAAAATTCAAGATCTCAACTCACTTAACCCAAGAGATCTTGAATAAAGGTCAAGGCCAATTATTTGAACAAAACAATGGTCCTTCATCCACTTACATTGTAAAACCAATATCAACAGCCTGGACGTTTCTGTTATTGACACGAAGTTGTTCAAAGATTTTAACCAATTTGGCCCCTGTGACCTTTAAAAAGTGAAAATATAAACAAAATGAACACATTCATTCCAGCATACTACGGGCCAATTATCAGAACTTTTTTAGATATTGAGAAGAAATCATTTAAAGAATTTTTAAACATTTATTCCTGTGACCTTGAAAATGGGTCAAGGTAATTAATTTTATCAAACATGCTACAGGCCCAATTATCAGCACCCTAAGTCTTTTGTTTGCTAAGAAGTTGTTTAAAGATTTTGACATATTTGATGCTTGTGACCTTGAAAGTAGATGAAGGACAATAATATAAACAACCTTGGTATCTCTTTGGTGACAGGCCTAATTTCAGCACCCAGAGTCTTTGGTTATTGAGAAAAAGTTATTTAAAGACATATTTGACACCTGTGACCTTGAAAGTGGATCAAGGTCATTCATACTGACAATCTTGGTAGCTCTTTATTCCATTCTGTTACAGGCCCATTATCAGACCCCTGGGCCTTTTGGTTATTGAGAAGTTATTTAATTTGAAAGTTTACGCATGGCAGACAGTGGACAACGACCGACGAAACACGATGGCTATAGGTAATCCAGACCCTTCGGTTCAGATGACTTAAAAACAACTACCGAGTAATGAACTGCAACATTTAGCAGAATTTGTTACATACCATATCCATTTTCATGTAGGCTCCCTTTGCATGTGTAAGAAAGAACTTATTTGCAAACTGCTTTTAGATTGCTATTTTAAATTTGATGATTCTGCAAAAATGAAGGGGGTTTATTTGTGGGCAGAAATTTATTTTAAGATAAGTGTGGTAATCCATTTTCTGTGCTATAATTTTGATAATGAGAGTTGAAAATGCATCATCAATACCTTGCACTTTTTTGACAAGAATTTTACATACTGAGCATATTGAAATACTGCAAACTTCATCCATCCTTAGTCAAGCCAATGGAAATATCGTACTGATTATCTACAAGTAGCAGTGACACAATTTTCTTCCTTTTGATTAAAAACTGTTTCAATGTTTGCAAGTGATTTTTCGTCACGAGGTTAAATTCATGCAAGATACCGTCTGTATTTGCAGTATTTAGCTGTTTAGAAATACTTTAATAATTGATATTTTTGGTATCAACAACTTGAAAAGTAAAATTAATTCCATTGAATGTTTTTATTATTGTGTAGAAAATTTTTCATGATGGGGTAAAAGTTCTCCACAAAATGGTGCTGGACACAGTGAATATATACAAAACACTACTCCAGAATTTCTATACAAAACTGTACTATGATATATGTATTGACCTTGATCCTAGTTTATTCAAGACTATTGCATGAAGGAATGACAACAGATACATGAGATGTTAAAAAATGATGATATAAGACTGTGGTCAAAATTTAGCATTAACAACATAAAGAGGCATGCTTTTCAACAGTCATGTTTAATGCCTGTGCCAGGTTTGACAATGTTAATAAAAAGTTGGTAATAAATGATTTCACAATAAAATTTAAATCGATCCATTGTCTACAAACTGTTCCCCAATGATGAAAAGAACATCTATTTATTCAGCTTTTCTACAAATTTGAACAGCAAAAATAGCATGCAACAGTTTTAGGATTCTGACCCGCATTCAGTTTATCCACGATTCTGAAGAGTTTTTTTCAGTACAACTTAAGTTTCTTCCTTTTCCCAATTTTCCCACTATAAACCCTGCTTAGGTCAATGGGTTTCCCACATTGATGGGATGTTGGCCGTATTTT